CTTGTAGAAAACTTTCAAATAAACAGTCCTAGACTTTTTTATCCACACTTTATGGACTTACATGGAGACACGGTGTAAAGGGAGAACTGCCTCCCATGTCCCCCAAGGCTGGAAATGAACTGAAGTCATGGGGAATCTCCTGAGCAGGACGATCAAGAGCCACTGCCATTCATGTAATGTGTTTGAAAGAACAGGAACATCAATAAAAGGAGGCAGGCAGGTCATACAGACAGCATTCACGCAGCAGAAATTTTTGCAGCCATTAAAAGGGATTCAGACATATTTTATTAATATAATAACACATGATCCAATGAGACTTGGTTCCCAACAGAGGCATTATCAGTCCGTAAGTCTACTCCCACCAGTGGGAAAATAGAACGGGCCTGAGAACCATTCACCTGGGTTATATTTCAGCTCACAAGGTCTAATAATGGCTTGCCTGTCACTGCTGTCCCAAAGCGAGTCTAGTTTTGTGCTTCCCTAAACTGTGATCCCAGAATCCCCAGCCATTGTCTAACTATGGACATTTGCTCCCATAATTCCTAGCATTAATAATAGTTCTGGCTATTTGTATGGAATAGTTGCATATAAACCCACTGTCTCAAAACCCTTTAAGTTTACATTGTCCATGTTCACAAAGCTTCTGCACCTGTAACTCTTGGCCAGGATCCAGAAACAGAAACTCTTCATGGGCTTCCATTTTACCGCCTTTTCTTTATTATATCTCTGATTCATAAAAATTAGTTTTTTTTAAATTCTGGTTCATGGCTCCTAAACCAATTATCATTGCACCATGTTATATCAAGACTATTTTTCATATAGGACTTAGAAGCCATCTACAAAAGCAATGTCATTTTGCTTATGCACATTTATGTAGAGTACGTATGTAGAGTGTCATGTAGTCATTCACGTAGAGTACGTATGTAGAGTGTCATGTAGTCATTCACGTAGAGTACGTATGTAGAGTGTCATGTAGTCATTCACGTAGAGTACGTATGTAGAGTGTCATGTAGTCATTCACGTAGAGTACGTATGTAGAGTGTCATGTAGTCATTCACGTAGAGTACGTATGTAGAGTGTCATGTAGTCATTCACGTAGAGTACGCATGTAGAGTGTCATGTAGTCATTTATGCAGAGTACGTATGTAGAGTGTCATGTAGTCATTCATGTAGAGTAAGTATGTAGAGTGTCATGTAGTCATTTATGCAGAGTACGTATGTAGAGTGTCACGTAGTCATTTATGTAGAGTAAGCCACTTTAGATCTTTTCCATTATATTTAGGAAGTTGGTATAAATTTCAATACCTTGATACATTCCAAAACATGGTATCTGTTTTGCATTTCTGTTCATAGTCTGGCTGGCTGTTTGGTCAGGTAAATTTTTGCCTGGGTTCTAAGGAGAAAAACTCAACACCGATTAAATAACCTATTATTCCCACTTCTATTCCCAAATTATAAGTATCCCATTAGGAATCGGCCACATCCACAATGTTCATTTATTATTGCCCATACAGGATAGCCTTTATCCAAGTCTACAGCAATAGACTCGGGATGACTAGATCAGTGCTGGAGTCTCCTCTCAAGATCCTTCCTTAAGGGGTACAGACACATAGAGTAAGAATGCTAACAGCACATTCTCCTGTTCTCTACTCTTCTTTAAATGCCAATATAGGGTTGCCTGATGCTGCTAGCTCTTTTCTTTCTCTCCATCTGCATCTTTCCTTTGCCCTATGAGAGGAGACAGCTTTGAGAAATACTCCAAATAGTGAGCAGCAAATATGGCACGACCAAACTCTTCCCTCTGTTCATTCCAACCTGCAGTCACGGTGTCTGTGGAGTTCCCCGCCCCCCGCCCAGCGCCCTGGGGAAGGACACTATAAGCAACAGATCTGCCTCAGTCATGAGAAGCAGGGCTGATCCAGCCCATCAACATTATTAATGAAATTCTAGCAGTCACATTTGTATAACAAGTCACAGATTACTGGAATTCTACTGTTCCTATCTTGGAGACACATAACTGAATCTCTGCTCTTAAAATAATGACTGGAATAAAAATTATCTAAAAAATTACTTAGGTAATTACACTTTGAGTTACATCTTTCATCTCTACCCCCCAACTCCATCTCTTAGAAATAATTCAACTGGTGATCTACCTTTATTGCCTTTTAATGTGAGTTGAAACACACTCTTTTAATCTGGAACACTACTTCTTAATACTCTATCACCCCCCTTATTTTGTCTAATAATTGCTTAAAATGCCCATTTTCATTTATTCCTCTGCTTTGTGGTTATGAATTATCGAAAGGATTACTTCACATTACATTTCCTGCTCCTTCATATTGTGTATTTACTGTGCTAGAAGACGCTATTTCCTGATCTGTTGATATATAACTTTGGGTCTGTATTTGTGGATAGTCTTATCTTTTTGTCTTTGCCAAGGCTCAGCCACAAAGTCAAAACCAAAAAAAGTGTCCATACCACAGAAAAACTAGTTATCATTTATTGCTCCCAAGGGTGATGAGCCATGTAACCTTGGGATCTGTTTACTGACTAAAACATAAATACATCTTTGGCTAGTTACAAGCTGGACAATCCCAAGAAACGAGCAATTTTTTGAAATGTGTCTATTGAAACTTAGCTTACAGCCCCATGCACTCTCATCTCAGGGACCTAACACTGCCAAAGCACACACAAATAAATAGATCTTGTCTCAATCACTAGTACTTTCTTCGTCTGAATGTGACTGAAGGGCATGGACAAGACAAATCCATATTTTCACATAAAGAGCTCATGGTTTTTCCTTTAAGCCCAGCATCCAAATGATGGTATTTTGTGTGTGTGTGTTTGAGGAAGATTGGCCCTGAGCTAACACCTGTTGCCAATATTCCTCTTTTTCCTTGAGGAAGATTGTCCCTGAGCTAACATCTGTGGCAATCTTCTTCTATTTTGTATGTGGGATGCCACCACAGCATGGCTTGATGAGCAGTGTGTAGGTCCATGCCTGGGATCGAAACCTGTGAACCCCAGGCCACCAAAGCAGAGCATGTGAACTCAATCACTAAGCCACTGGGCCAGCCCCCAAATGTTGGTATTTTTAAGTCTTATTCCCTGGGTTCCACATGTCAAAACAAATGGTTAGACCACTGGTCATTGACTGAGTCATTATATGTATATATAAATCTATCTATCTATCTATCTATCTATCTATCTATCTATCTATCTATCTATCTCTAGCTAGCTAGCTGTCATCTACTTATCTCAGTAGGGGTTATGCTACCCACACTGTATATAACTCTGTCCATTTTGCTGACATATCCCATATTTTTTTCCTTTACAAGTTTTCTGTTAGCTGGCATTCTTTCAGCAATAAGTCTCCTCCATTAACCAAGCACTGCCATCCACAAACCAAGCCTCATCATTTTTTTTTCTTTTTCTGAATATAGAAACTCATATAGTGGGCCACAAGCCTTCAAAGTTAGAAGCAAATCATTTCATGGGGACAGTCTTGGCCTCAGGGAGGTGGTCTCCTCTTGTTTACAGACAGGTTTCTGAATATACCATTTCCATTTAATCAGGTCACTTTGATAAGCTGCCTGTTTTTTATTTAACTGATTTTTCTGAAAATGCTCAGGTTCTTATTGGAATCTCTGATTTTAAAACTAGTGGAGTCTCTCATTAGTAGGTATAGTTTCAACCAATACCGAGTAGAATGCCTATAACTGCATTTCAAAGGGAAAGTGGTGAGTAGCTAGATCAAGGATTATTAGGTCTAAGATCCCAGAGTTCCCTGAAGCACTTCCCAGATGTGTTTCTGCCCAAAGTCCAGTTTCCTATCATGCCCTACCAGGTCTGCATTTGAAAACTTTCCTATGTCTTCAGCTTCGATTACTCCAAGGTTCCCACTTAATGAATCCTTCCTCACTCTCTCAGTGGCAGCAGACTCCTGCCACTCACAGCAGAATTTCCTGTTCACTCACAGCGTCCACACCAACAATGGGCTCTGATGTTCCTCATAACAGAATCTGTTCCTAATTTGCTAGTTTAACCCCTTCCACTCTCTCACCACTGCATCTTTCTCTCCCCTCAATATTGACATACGATCCTTGCCCTAGGATCTGGGTTGTACTGTACACTGAGCCCAGTGCTCAGAGATCCAGGAAATCTTTGCTACTGATCCTTTGGCCATTATACCATAACCCCATCATACAGCTTCAGCCTGCCTGTCGACGGGAATTTTCATCTCATCCTCCAGGAATTATTTTCCTCATGGAAGAGAGTTTAATCTCAGGCTCTTTAAATCCCACTCTCTCTTTTTTTTTTTTTAACAATTACTTTCCCCCCATCTTCTCTGTGAAACCTTAACAGCTGTAAGATCTGCTGCATATATGATTTGACCCATGTGAAGCGTCTGTTACAGCAAGCGAATCTTAAATTCACTGTGGCAAAATGGAGGCATATCCCTCAGATTTCCCTTCAAGATAGAACCTGCCAGAGGAGTCTGGAAGATGACGGTGTAGCAGGAACTGCACTCACCTCCTTCCATGGACACAAGAAATCTATGACTACCTGTGGAACAATTTCCTCTGAGAAAGATCTGGAAACTGGATAAAAAGAACCCCCACAAAAGGGACAGCACTGATGGGGGTGGAAGAGGCAGAGATACAGCTATGCTGAAGACAAAAACCACACCCTAGCCTCAGTACTTCACAGCCAGGAGCCATCTCAAAGGGACAAAGCTTTTACCGGAGAAGCAGGGGATCTGAACTCCACAGTGGGCATCTCAACCTTTAGATTCAGCACAACCTACATGAGATCCCATAATACCTGGCTTTGCTGGCTTTGAAGACCAATGGGGAATACACTGAGAAAAACTAAAGAACTTCAGAGAAGGAAAAGCCTGCTCTTAAAGTGCCCACACACAGATACACCCAATCTGGAAAGCAACACAAAAACATCAGATAGGAAAGTGCATAGTCCATTGATAAAAGAGACTCACTTACTAAGCTCAGAGGCATCCCAGAGAGGCAGGAGGCAGCTGGGCCCACCCTCTAGAAACTGAGACACAGGCAGCAGCCATTACTGTGACCTAGTGCAGTTGTGCTGACACAGAACTCACAGCTGCCAGTTGGATTCCTTCCTCTAGCCTGTTAGTGCAGGGGTCAGCCCCACCCACTAGAGCACCCAAGGCAACTGAGCACAGCTAGGGCAGGCAGCCTGTCCAAAGGGCTGGCCCCACCCACCAGGAAGCCCTCAGGGAATTTGTGGGCTGGTGTAGGCAGGCTGTGTGGGACCTCTGCAGCAGGGTGGGGCATGTCAGTCTGCAGCAGACTTGTGCTGCTGGCTATTGTAAACAGCCACACTGGGGATCTACCCCACCTTTCAACACCTGAAAGGATTATGTGCTGCCACGCCTGGCGTTGGCTACACCCATCTGCCCTCCAGAGGCAGGTGTGTACTGCAGGGCAACATAGCCAGATCTAGTCAGAGGCCTGCCCCACCCAAAAGAGGGCCCACAACAGCCATGCTCTGCAGGAGCTGCACTGGAGACCTGCAGCAATTGTGAGCTCCTGCGTCTAGCAACAAGCCACACTGGGGACCTAACTTACAAAACAGCAATAGTTGTGTGCTATTAGACCTTGCAGCCAGCTGTGCCAAGGGATTGCCTTGCCCAATAATGTGCCCATAGCAGCCATATGTGGCTGGGTCGTACAACCAGCCAGCTCAGGGGCTGGCCAAGCCTACCCATACACCAACAGCAATAGCAGCCTCATCTCAACAGAAAGGCACACATAGCCCAAATAGGGGACACCATGTAGCATTTGGCACTGGTGATGAGAGGGGGGCATGCTGCTGGACCCTATAAGACATCTCCTACATAAGGCCACATTTTCAAGATTAGGAGATACAGCTGATCTACCTATACATAGAAATAAGCACAAGGAAGCAGGCAAAATGAGGAGACAAAGGAATATGTTCCAAATAAAAGAACAGGACACATTCTCAGAAAAAGAACTAAAACAGAGATAAACACTCTACCTGCTAAAGAGTACAAACTAATGGTCATAAGGACGCTCACTGAAATGGGGAGAAGAATAGAGGAAAACAGTGAGAACTTCAACAAAGAATTGGAAAATATAAAAAAGAACCAATCAGAGCTGAAGAATAAAATAATGGAAATGAAAAATTCACTAGAGGGAATCAACAGCAGAGTAGATGACACAGAAGAACAGATCAGTGATCTGGGTGACAGAGTAGAGGAAATCACCTAAGATAAACAGAGAAAAGAAAAGAGAATTAAAAAGAATGAGGACAGTCCAAGGGACCTCTGGGACAACATCAAGTGTACTAACATTCACATTATAGGTGTTCCAGAAGGAGAGGAGAGAGACAAGGGGGTAGAAAACTTATTTGAAGAAATAATACCTGAAAATTTCCCTAACACATAGGGAAGGAAACAGACATCTAGGTGCAGGAAGCATAGAGATTATCTAACAAGATGAACCCAAAGAGGCCCACACCAACACACATTATGGTTAAAATGTCAAGAATTAAAGACAAAGAGAGAATCCTAAAAGCTGAAAGAGAAAAGCAACAAGTTATGTACAAAAAAAACCCCAAAAGGCTATCAACTGACTTTTCAGCAGAAACTTTGTAGCCTAGAAGGGAGTGGCACAATATATTTAAAGTGCTGAAAGGAAAAAACTTACAACCAAGAATACTCTCCCTGACAAGATTATCATTCAGAATGGAAGGAGAGAAAAAAAGTTTCCCAGACAAGCAAAAACTAAAGGAGTTCATCACTTCTAAACTGGCCTTACAAGAAATATTAAAGGGACTTGTTTAAGTGGAAAAGACAGCAAATAGGATAAGAAAATTATCAAAGAAAAAATATCATTGGTAAATGCAAATATACAGAAAAGGTAGTGGATCAACCACCTACAAAGCTAGTGTGAAGGTCAAAAGACAAAAGTATTAAAATTATCTATTTCCATGATAAGAGGTTAAGGGATATACAAAAATAAAAGAGGTAAAATATGGTATCAAAAACATAAAATGTGGGGAGGGGGAGTAAAAGTGTAGGGCTTTAGTGAAGAGGTCAGACTTAAGAGACCATTAACTTAATATAGATTGCTACTCACATAGGTTATTATATAAGAACCTCACGGTAATCACAAATCAGAAACCTATAACAAATACACAAAAGAGAAAGGAACCCAAACACAACACTAAAGAAAGCCATCAAATCACAATGGAAGAGAGCAAGAGAAGAAGAAAGGAACAGAAGGGCCTGCCTGGGGCATAGTGGTTAAGCTCCACTTTGGCTCGGATCCTGGGTACAGACATACACACCGCTCATCAACCCATGCTGTGGCAGGAGTCTCACACACAAAACAGACGAAGATGGGCACAGATGTTAGCTCAGGGACAATCTTTCTCAAGCAAAAAGAGGAAGATTGGCAACAGGTCTTAGCTCAGGGCTAATCTTCAAGAAAGGGAGGGAGGGAGGGAGGGAGGAAGGAAGGAAGGAAGGGAGAACTACAAAAACATCCAGAAAAAACGTTAGAAAATGGCAGTAAGTACATACTTATCACAGCTACTTTAAATGTAAATGTACTAAATGCTCCAATCAAAAGATATAGGGTGGCTGAATAAAACTAAACAACCTGTATGTATGCTGCATACAAGAGACACACTTCAGACCTAAAGATACTCACAAACTGAATGAAAGTAAAGGGATGGGAAAAGATACTCCATGCAAATGGAAATGAAAAGAAAACTGGGTTGCAATACTCAATATCAGACAAAATAGACTTTAAAACAAAAACTGTCGCAGGAGACAAAGAAGGGCACTACATAATGATAAAGGGAACAATCCAACAAGAGGTTATAATACTTGTAAATATCCATGCCCCCAACAGAGGAGCATCTAAATACATAAAGCAATTATTAATAGACAAAAAAGGAGAAATAGTAACAATAGTAGTAGGGGACTTCAACACTCCACTTACACCAATGGATAGATCATGCAAACAGAAGATCGATTTAAAAAATTGGCCTTAAGTGACATATTAGAGCAGATGGACCTAATAAATATATACAGAACACTCCATCCAAAAACTGTAGAAAAGACATTCTTTCTGAATGCACGTGGAACATTCTCCAGGAGAGATCACATATTAGGTCACCAAACAAGTCTCAATAATTTTAAGAAGACTGAAATAATACCAAGCATTTTATCTTATCACGACCATATGAAACTAGAAATCAATTACAAGAAGAAAACTCTAAAAGCCACAAATATGTGGAGATCAAACAAAATGCTACTGAAAAACTAATGGGTCAACAAAGAAATCAAAGAAGAAATAGGAAAATACCTGGAGACAAATGAAAATGAAAATATGACATACCAAATTTTATGGGATACAGTAAAAGTGGTAGTAAGAGAGAAGTTTATAGTAATACAGGCCTATCTCAAAAAACAAGAAAAATCTCAAACAATCTAACAATACATCTAAAGGAAGTAGAAAAAAGAACAAAGGAAGCTCAATTATCGGTAGAAGGAAGGAAATAATCTGAACAGACATAAATGAAATAGAGACTACAAAAAAATAGAAAAAAGCAATGAAACTAAGAGCTAGTTCTTTGAAAAGATTAAAAATTGACACACCTCTAGCTAGACTCACAAAGCAAAAAAGAAAGAAGGCTCAAATAAATAAAATCAGAAATGAAAGAGGAGAAATTACAATGGATATCACGGAAATACAAAGGATTATAAGAGAACACTATGAAAACCAATATGCCAACAAACTGGGGTAATCAAGAAGAAATGGACAAATTCTTAGAATCATAAAACCTTCCTAAACTGAATCAGGAAGAAATAGAGAATCTGAATAGACCAATCAATAGTAAGGAAATCGAAATGTAATCAAACACCCCCCAAAAAACAAAAGTCCAGGACCAGATGGCTTTCCTGGTGAATTCTACCAAACATTCAAAGAAGACTTAATACCTATCCTTCTCAAACTCTTCCAAAAAACTGAAGAGGAAGGGAAGCTTCCTAACTCATTTTATGAGGCCAACATTAACCTACACCAAAACCAGACAAGGACAACACAAAAAAGAAAATTATAGGTCAATATCACTGATGAACATAGATGCAAAAATCCTCAACAAAATACCAGCAAATCGAATCCAACAATACATTAGAAAGATCATACACCATGATCAAATGGAATTTATTCCAGGGATGCAAGGATGGTTCAGTGTCCACAAATCAATCAACATGATGCAGCACATTAACAAAACGAAGAATAAAAATCACATGAGCGTCTCAATAGATGCAGAGAAAGCATTTGACAAGATATAGCATCCATTTATGATAAAACTCTGAATAAAATGGGTATAGAAGGAAAGTACCTCAACATAATAAAAGCCACATATGACAAACCCACAGTTTATATCATACTCAGTGGTGAGAAACTGAAAGCTATCCTTCCAAGAACAGGAATGAGACAAGGATGCCCACTCTTGCCGTTCTTATTTAACATAGTATTGGAAGTCCTAGCCAGAGCAATCCGGCAATAAAAAGAAACAAAAGGGTTCCAAGTTGTAAAGGAAAAAGTAAAACTGCTATTTGCAGATGACATGATTTTATATAGAGAAAACCCTAAAGAACTCACAAAAAACTATTAGAAATAATAAATGAATATAGCAAAGTTGTGGGGTACAAAATCAACATACAAAAATCAGTTGTGTTTCTATACACTAACAATGAAATAGCAGAAAGAGAAATTAAGAATACAATCTCATTTACAATTGCAACAAAAAGAATAAAACACCCAGGAAAAAATTTGAGCAAAGAAGTGAAAGATCTGTATACTGAAAATCATAAAACATTGTTGAATGAAACTGAAGAAGACACAAAGAAATGGAAAGATATTCCATGCTCTTGGATTGGAAGAATTAACATAGTTAAAATGTCCACACTTCCTGAGCAATCTACAGATTCAATGCAATCCCTATCAAAGTCCCAATGACATTCTTCAGGGAAATAGAACAAAAAAGCCTAAACTTTATATGGAACAACAAAAGACCCCTAATAGCCAAGGTAATCCTGAGAAAAAAAAGAACAAAGCAGGACATATTACAATCCCTGATTTCAAAATATACTATAAACCTGTAGCAACCAAAACAGCATGGTACTGACACAAACACCAACATATGGATCAATGGAACAGAACTGACAGTCCAGAAACAAACCCACACATCTATGACAGCTAATTTCCAACAAAGGAACCAAGAACATACAACGGAAAAAGGAAAGTCTCTTCAATAAAGAGTGTTGGGAAAACTGGACAGCCACATGCAAAAGAATGAAAGTAGACCATTATCTTACACCACACACAAAAAGTAACTCAAAATGGATTAAAGTAAAACTTGCAACCAGAAAATTCCTAGAAGAAAATACAAGGCAGTATGCTCTTCAACACTGGTCTGAAACACTATCTTTTTGAATACCATGTGTCCTCAAGCAAGGGAAACAAAAGAAAAAATAAACAAGTGGGACTATATCAAATTAAAAAGCTCTTGCATGTCAAAGAAAACCATTAACAAAGAGAAAAGAGAACCTAACAACTGGAAGAAGATATTTGCAAATCATATATCTGATAAGGGGTTAATATCCAAAATATATAAAGAATTCATACAACTCAACAACAAACAAAAAAACCAAATAACGCAATGAAAAAATGGGCAAAGGATATGAACAGACTTTTCTCCAAAGAAGATACACAGAGAGCCAACAGGCATGTGAAGAAATGTTCAACATATGTAATCATCAGAGAAATGCAAATCAAAACTATGCTAAGATATCACCTTAGTATAAACACGGACAAAGAGAACAGTTCAGTGGTTACCAGGGGGAAGGGAGTTGGGGGGTGGGCACAAAGGGTGAAGGGGAGGTTTTATATGGTGATGGACAAATAATAATGCAAGCGAAATTTTACAATGTTGTAAGCTATTATGACTTCAATAAAAAAATAATTTGAAAAGAGAATAGAAAAAGAACCCCATACCTACAATGAGATATCACCTCACATTCGTCAGAATGGCTATAATTAAAAAAGGAAATAAGAGTTGGAGAGGATGTGGAGAAAAGGGAACCCTCATACACTGCTGGTGGGAAAGTAAACTGGTGCAGCTACTAGGGAAAACAGTATGGAGATTCCTCAAAAAATTAAGAGTAGAACCACCATATGATCCAGCTATTTTGCTTCTGGGGATTAATCCTAAGAACATGAAAACACTAATTCGAAAAGATATACACACTCGTATGTTAATTGCAGCATTATTCACAATAGCCAAGACTTGGAAACAACATAAGTGCCCACCAATGGATGAATGGGTAAAGAAGATGTGGTATATAGATACAATGGAATACTACTCAGCTATAAAAAAAGATGAAATCTTGCAGTTTGTGACATCATGGATGGATCTTGAGGGTATTATGCTAAGTGAAATAAGTCAGATGGAGAAAGTCAAATACTGTATGATTCCACTCATAAGTGGAAGAGAAAAACAACAACAACAACAAAACAAGCACAAAGATAGAGATTAGATTGGTGGTTACCAGAGGGAAGGGGGAGGGGGAAGGTGAAAGGAGTAAAAGGGCACATGTGTGTGGTGACAGACGATAATTAGTCTTTGGATGGTGAACATGATGTAGTCTACACAGAAATCAAAATACAATGATGTACACCTGAAATTTATATAATGTTATAAACCAATGTTACCTCAATAAAAAAAGCAAACTTTAAAGTGAAAAGGTAGTTAAAAAAACAAAAGATGGAACCTGCCATGAGGAGTGCAGTTAGCTGAGAGCCATCAGCAGCAGCAACGTTGGAATCTGCCACAGCGTCTCAGCCAAGGCTATACTTTTCCCGGACAACCCCAGTCAATGACTGAGCACGACAGCCCTAACAAGCCATTTCTGCCCAACACCTACTTCTCCCAACATGCAAGATCTCCATGGGGGATTTTTGCATCACAGCTCCCCTTTGTGTGGGCTGAGATTTTCTCAGAGTTGCCTTGCAGTCTGAGCCTCCTCCAACTGAATTTCACAGGTGTCAGATATGCACGGTACTCTGAAGGCTTTCCCTGCCCACTCTTGCTCTCCCAGCCCTTTGTGTGTTTGTGTTCCAATAAAACTTTATTTATGGACACTGAAATTTGAACTGTATAAAATTTTCATGTGCCACAAAGTATTCTTTTTTTATTTTCTTAAAATACTTTTTATTTTAGAACAATTTTAGATTTACAGAAAAATTGTGAAGACAGTACAGAGAGTTCCCATACACTCCAAACCTACTGTTCCCATTATTAACATTTTACAGTATATTTGTCACAATTAATGAACCGATTTTGATACATTGTTATTAACTAAAGTCCACACTTTAATCAGATTTTCTTAGTTTTCACCTGATGCCTGTTTTATTTTCTAGGATCCCATTCAGGATACCACATTACACTTAGTAGTCTTGCTTCTAAGCTTAGACTCCTCTTGGTTGTGATGGTTTCTCAGGTTTTCCCTGTTTTTGACGACCTTCACAGTTTTTAGGAGTACTGGTCTGTATTTTATAGAATGTCCCGTAATTGGGATTTGTTTGATGTTTTTCTCATGATTAGTCTGGGACTGTATGTTCTTGGGAAGAAGACTAGAGGTAAAATGCCATTTTTGTCATATCATAGCAGGGAAATATGCTAGTAACCTGACTTACCACTGGTGATATTGACCTTGCTCACTTAGCTCAGGCAGTGTTTGTCAGATTTCTTCACTGTCAAGTGACTCTTTTTTCTACCTCTTCCCATATTGTATTGATGCCTCCATTTTTACAGGCATCACCTAAGAAATCTCTTATACTTCTAGTTCTGTCTTGACATTACATTCAGGAGGATCTAAACTGGCACAGTTGGTTTCAGTAGTGGCCCATGGGAGCGACCGGTAAGAAATCATGATCCCGTGCTTAGTTACTGGAATGGGCCAGTTTTCACACCTGGAAACCGTCGACTGAAGAGGTGGCTGAGTTCCCAGGAGAAAGCCACTAGTATGCATTTTAAAGATTTCCCTAGTACTTCACAAAAGGGACCTATGGACATGTACTTGAAGGACTATATACTTGAAAACGGGAGTATCCACACATTTGGGCAAATATCAGATGCAGGATGTGATTTGACATCAAACCAAAGTATCATCATGGGGTCAAATCCAAGCAGGACCAGAAGGCATGAGTGAGCAGACAACCTAGACCTCCATTTCACCCAGCACAGTTATACCAGCCCCCTTTCTCAGCTCACACCTATGACTATATTGAAGGGGTTCCTATACCTTCAAACAAAGGTAACGAAAAAAATCCAAATCTTAGTTTATCAATTGGTTGGTTCGACATGCTGGTGTAAGCTAAAAATGGACAATGGCTGCATTACAGCCATACTCGGCGGGGGAGTGGGTCCTTGAAAGATAGTGGAGAGGGAAAATCTTCAAGGTGGAGCTTTCAGTGGTATACCTGCTCATCCACTTTGTATGGAAGAATAAGTGGCCTGAGATGAGAATCAATATGGACAGTAGCAAATGCTAGGCCAGAGGTTGGGTGTTGAGAAGGAAAAGGATTGAAAGATCAGAAATAAGAGGATCTAGGGCAGACCAATTGGCACTTGGTGGCAAGTTGACTATCTTGGGCTCCTTCCATCCTGCAAAAGCCAGTGGTTTGTCTTCATTGGAATAGATACCTATTCTGACATCTTTTCTGGGTATGGGTTTAACTTTCTTGCCCTCAGAGTCTTAACTAACACCACCATGTATGGGTTTCCTGAGTGCCTGATCCACAGGAATAGGATACCACACAAACTAGCATCCTATCAGAGGTCTCACTTCACAATGAAGGATTTTCAGAAGGGGGGCCCTGATTTGGAATCCACTGGTTGAATTACACATCACTTCATGTAGAAACTTCTGGCTTGATAAAGCATTGGGATGGTCTTTTGCAGGTGCAGCTAACATGCCAGCTTAAAGGCAATACTCGATATTGCCTAGAGGAAGACTACATGGGACCAGGAACCAAGGGGTGGAAGCTGAAGTGGCCTCATTACCATCATGAGCAATCATATTCCATGAAATTACCCAGAAAGTTTGTTGCAGAGTAGACGTAGGAGAACAGAAGTTAGATATATAACAAGTTAGTCACAGCAGGAATGGAACACAGTATCAGGACGAATTTATACTTATAAATGCAGCAGAATGTTCGTAGATTAATTTGTTCTCAGTCCTAGGTTGAACCACTTCAGAGATCCAAAGTCAGTTTTCTCATTTAAAAAATGGAAGTAACATCAACTTTACAGAGTGGTTTTGGGTATCACATAATTACGTGAATTTATATATATATATATATATATAAAGCAGAGCTCTTGAAAAAAACAAACGAAAAACCAGAAACTACTGAACAGAGGATAGTTCAGGGCTTTTTTGTATAATTCTCATCTTGCCCCATTTAAGGACAGGCTTTTAACATAAGAGAGTTGATAAACAGAGTTTATACCACTTTACATACTTTGCTATGTTAGGTAGTTTTATTCAGTTCATTTATTAGTCTTACAACTGGTAAGTAGTTAATTTATATTACTAATTTATGAATGTTTACTATACATATTGAATAACAAGTAAATAACTTTTTAAAAACTTATTTTATTTTATCACATAAACTTGGAAGCAGCCAGATTGCTCAATCACAGCTAAATTTTTGACATTTATTAGCCCTTGGTGGCAACAAATCACATAGCCTAGTAAAGAATTACAGCAAGGCTTTAACGAAATAGTAACATGAAGTAGAAATAATAAATTTGTCTCCTAACAGCATGTACAAGTACCATCTAAACCATTCCAAACACATATACAACAAAGGCAAATAATGATATTAGATGCATTCAAATCACATGGAAAACACCACCACCACCAATAACAACTGTTATAGTAATGATAAAACAGCAAAACCAAGTGATTAAATGGTCGTCCTGAACTTCAAATGGTCCTGAGCACCTTACATGGACAATCTTATTTAATCCTCAAAAAACTTATCACATTTAAAAAATATTTAAAACACAGAGATAGAAACACATTTAAGAAATAGAAATTCTCTCCTTCATCAGGTGACATAGTGAAATCTTAAGATTAATTAGACTGGTCAAATATTTTTTAGTATTTCTATCATCACATCTTTATCTGTTCTTAGTGTCCAAGAGCTTCCCTTATAATACTTACTAGAAAATACATGTTTTTGTTTATTTGTTTTCCAAATTTAAATTGGTTGAATAAGTATGAGAAAGAAGAGAATAAAAGGTATTGCAATAGTGGTTTGTACATATTCTTTCTTGTTAAAGCTCAGTGTTCTTGTTTTTTGGGTTTTTGCCTTTTTTGTATTATGCTTTTGTCCTACGATGGTGGTAAATCTTACCCCTCCTCTTCCTCCTCCTCCACTTTGTCCTCCTCCTCCTCCTCCTCTTTCTCTTTGTCCTCCTCTTCCTCCTCCTCCTTCTCTTTGTCCTCCTCTTCCTCCTCCTCCTCTTCCTTTTCTGGCTCTACTTCATTTACCTCAGGGGTAGATAACATCTGTTCTTCCAATAATATATTTGGAAACTGAGACTGTATCATCAAAACAACTGTGGCACAAAGTGAAAAAGATAGCACTCTCAGAAAGAAAATAAATATGCATAGTGGATCACAGACAACCGGCCGGGGCACTTCCCACCTTGGATACCAATATCGGTAATCTGTAAATAAAGAAGGAATTGGAAACTGGATTTCACATAAAGTAGTTAAATTGTTCAAGAAATAAAGGACAACAATACATACATATGGCTTGGTCACGCTCTGCATTACCTAGAAAGACAAAGAAAGTACATAGAGAATTACATAAAATTTCTTCTTTCTCTAGAATATAATTTTTCCAACAATAGCATCATCCTCCTAGTTCTCAGGCATCATGCCCTCATCTTTGATGTCCTCCCTCCAACCAGTAGCTAGTGATAAAGTCCAATACATTCTCTTTTAAGAGAAAGTCAGCCTGGCCTGCTAGAGAAGGCATGGAAGTATAGGAGCGAGGAGATGTGGATCCTAGCACTAACTCTAAATCTAGTACTAATTCTAAACTAGTCTCTAAATCATTGTGTCACCTTATATAAGTCACTTCACTTTGACCTCTAGAAATTGTTCCAGGCTCAATATTCTAGGACTCTATAACATCTCTTATTTTCATCTCCCCACCCCAGATCATTCCAAATTAATCTTCTGAATCTTCTCACTTTCCTCGGTGAGCTCTTATTTTCACAAGATTTCAGTTCTTCTTCATTCCTAGACAGCAAAGTTAACTCTATAGCCTGGGATTCATTGTTTTTGCTATCTGGCCCAATACTCTTCAAGTATTTTTCAGGAAATAAATTTCCTTTCCCCTGCACACCTGGGCAATGAAGGCCAGACAACCATTCCTGGATTCTGCCAGGAAGGAGAGTGGGAGGAAGAACGAGTTTTCGCATACAGAGAGCCCAGTGGCAACCAGGGGCTTTGTCTTGCAGTGGCAGTACCCTTAGAGGGAAAGTTGGAAATCGTGCTTCAGCATCTTGGAGAAGATGTTGGGTCTTTGAGGTTATTTTAGCCTTTTGTGCTTGGTCTTATTTATTCCTTCATATTTTAGGCAGTGATTTCTATTTTGGGGCTCCTTTTAAAAAAATTTTTACCATACAGTCTTTATTTTCTCTTCTTCATTCTGTGTATGTGTATCTATTGATTGCTTAGAAAGAGCAATGATGTAATTAGTACGTTTGTTCTTTGCATCTTCCTTTCTTTCTCATCACTTATTTTCACTAGGCATTCTTCTTTTACTTTTGCACTTGATTAAACATTTAAATACATTTAAATTTACTTATCTCTTTATTGTTGGATTTGTCAGCTTTAAATAATGTCTTTTGGCCCCTGGTTATAAAAGAGAAGGAAATTAAGCACATTTTTCTACCTCTCTTTTCTCCCAAGTTTTATTAGTTTCATCATTTGTATATTACATATATACCAGATATTTGTAAATTTATTATTTCTCTTTGTAGTTACAACCTTCTGATTTGTTTTAGTCTTTGCCTATCAATTAAGGTTCAACGCTTACAGACAGTTCTTTCAGTTCAGCTTTTCACTTTTCCATTCGTCTCCTCTTTTTGGTGAAAGTCATCCTCTAGGAGTTTACTGAGGAAGTGTTGATGAGAACTATGTACCACAAGTACTGCATGTTCCCACAATATTTGTTTGTTTGCTTATACTTAAATAATAGATTTGGCTGCCTACAAATTCTTGGTTCACACTTCTTGCCTTAAGGCTGATACAGGTATTACTCCATCGTCTCTTAGTATTGATTGTTATAGTAGAGAAGTTCGAGGCCAGGCTGAATTTTACCCCTCAATGCAGGACTGTCAATTGCCAACGCAGCATCACTACCACACCAGCGTAAAGTCAATTCTGTACTGTACAGCTGGAACAGGGAACTAAGTACCTTTCTGTGAATTCCTTTCTCTGTATAGCTTCAGGTTAGAGTTTGCTGATGAAAGAAATGCAAGTGAAATTTGGAAGATATAAGAGAAGTGGAGACCATCATTCTCCAGAGTTGGTTGTTAGACAAAGACCGGAATGGATGTGAGATTCAGTGGCTTCTTGGTAGAATGGGAAACTATTTGCTTTGCTGCCAAAAGCTGAGACAATTGGTGGGAGCTTTCTGAAAGATTCTTGAGAATTGCAGCAATTTCCTGGTGAGATTCGGAGAGCCACCTATTTTTGGTGCTTCAGACTAAGAGGTCTTCAGCATCTGCTTCCCTGACCCTTTGACTACAGTTTCTCTGCCCTTCCATGGTAACTTCTCTGACCTTTGCTCCCACGGAGTTAACAGCACTCATGTAAACTATGTTAAACACTATATTCTTGGAATACTTAGAGTGGCTGTTTTCCTGACTCAACCCAGACTGTTAAACTCTCTAATAAATGATTTTACATTTTTGCTTGGATACTTAAAGGATTCTTCCTTTTCTTCTAAGTTACTAGGCAGTATCTAAATAGTGACTGTTTAGTGTTATTTTTTCCTGGCACATAGTATGCACTTTCTTTTTTTTCTTTACAAGGTTGTCTTTATTTATTTTTTAATTGAAGTATAATTGACATATAACATCATGTTAGTTCTAGGTATATGACATAATGACTTGATGTTTGTATATTCTGCAAAATGATCACCACAATAAGTCTACTTAACGTCCATCCCCAAAGAGTTACAAAAATATTTTTCTTTTGATGAGAACTTTTAAGATCTACTCTCTTAGTAATTTCACATATGCAAAACAGTATTATTAACTATAGTTACCATGCTGTACATTACATCCCCATGACTTATTTATTTTATAACTGGAAGTTTATAGTAAACTTATAAGTTTATAAGTTATAACTGGAAGTTTTCAGCCCCGTCACTCATTTCACCCACTCCCTCAATCTCACCTCTGGCAACCACCACCAATCTGTTTTCTGTATCCATGAGTTTTTTTTTTTTTTTCTTTTTTAGATTCCACATATAAGTGAGATCATACAGCATTTGTCTTTCTCTGTTTGACTTATTTCACTTAGCAAATGCCCTCAAGGTCCATCCATGTTGTCACAAAAGGCAAGATTTCATTCTTTGTTATGGCTGAATAGTATTCCACTGGAGATACGTATATCACATCTTCTTTATCCATTCATCCATCAACAGACACTTAGGTTGTTTCCACGTCTTGGCTATTGTAAATAATGCTGCAATGAAGAGTGAACAGGGGGATGCACATATCTTTTCAAGTAAGTATTTTCATTTTCTTCAGATAAACACCCAGAAGTAGAATTATTGGATCATATGATAATCCTGTTTTTAATTTTTTGAAGAACCACCTACTGTTTTCCATTAGTGGCTGCACCAATTTGTATTTCATAGTATGCACTTCTAATGCTTAGATTCAAGAATTTCTATTTCTGAAGGTTTTTTTAATTATTTCTTTAAATATCTATATATCTATCTACAGCTATATTTTCTGTTCTATTATTTTGGTTCCGTTCTTTGGGGCCTCCAATTATTTACATGTTGAATCTGATTTACCTGTGCATATTTATAATTTTCTCCTTAATCTTTTAAATCCCTTGCTTGCATTTCTCAATCATGTCCTTCATATCCCTTATTGTGTTTTCCAGCATTTTTGGTTCCTTGCACTGTTTCCAATGTGATCTTCATTTCTGTAATGGTTCTACTTTTTTCTTTCAGGTTTTTCCTATGCTCTACTAGCAGCTTCATCTTCTGTTGTCTTGCTATATTTTCCTTGACCTTTGTATCTTTGCTTTGATCTCTTGTTTTAAGCTGCTATGTCAAGTTTTTTTGAAGATGGTACATCTGTTCTCATTTTCGATCTGTTTTTCTTTTGCCATACGCTTATCTGTTTTTCTCTTTTTCTTGGAGTTTTTTTGTATAGATAATGGATTGGTCTTTTTCAGTATTATTGTATTAGTTTAATTAGTTGGTTAACAAATTTCCACAAACTTAACAGCATAGGACAACACACATTTGTTATCTCACAGTTTCTGGGGTCAGGAGTCCAGGCATGGCTTGGCTGGGTTTCTACTTCAGGGTCTCACCAAAAAAACAAAACCAGAAACAACTCACTGGAAGGACTCAATAGCAAAATAGAGATGACAAAGGAAAAAGTCTGTGAACTTAAAGACAATAGATCAGTGTAAATGATCCAATCTGAAAGACAGAACAAAAATTTTAAAGAAAAATGAAGAGAGCCTCAGCGAAACTGTGGGACAGTGACAAAAAGTCTAACATTCATGTCATCAGAGTCGCAGAAGGAGAAGAGAAAGAGTGTTGTATTGAAAAAAATATATGAAGAAACAGTGGCTGAAAAGTTCCCAAGTTTAGAAAAAGACAAACCTACAGATTCAAGAAGCTGAGCATACATTATACAGAATAAACCAATGAAATCCATGCTCAGACACATCATAATCAAACTTTCAAATAATCCTGAAAGAAGTCAGAGAAAATAACATTACCCATAAGGCAACAAGGAGTTAAATGTCTGTGGATTTCTCATCTAGAAACCATAGAGGCCAGGAGGAAGTAGTACAATATTTATGAAGTGCCAAAAGGAAAGAATTGTCAAGAAAAGAATTTTATATCCAGCAAAAATAACCTCCAGCAATGAAGAAGAAATAAAGACATTTCCAAATGGAGGAATCTTAAGGGAATTTGTAGCTAGCAGACCTGCTGTAAAAGAATTGTTAAAGTATATTTTCATATAGAGGGTAAACGATACCAGAAGAAAACCTGGAATATCAGGAATGCAGGGAAAGTCACAAAATGGTAAACAAAATAGACTAGGTAAATATAATACACTATTCTTCTCCTCTTGAGTTATTCAAAATATATTTGAGAGTTGAAAACTAAAAGTTTAACATTGATGGCATTTTCAATATATGTAGATATAACATGTAAGATAACTACAGGATATAGAGGGAGGGTAAAGGGATCCATAAGGGATGGTAAGGTTTCCACATTCCAATAGAGGTGATAAAATATTGATTCTAAATAGACTGTAAAAAGTTAAGTATGCATGTTGTTACAACAACTAAAAAAATTATACAAAGAGGTATGTTGAGATCACAATAGATAAATGAACACTGAAAAATGTTTAAGTAACTCAAAGGAAGCCATAAAAAGGGAAATAGCAATTAAAAAAGAGCAAAAAAATCAGAAAACAAATAAAATGGTAGACTTAAATCCAAACATTTAATAATTTTATCAAATGTAAGTGGTCTAAATACATCAACTGAAACAG